AAAAGATGATTAAGAGGATTGAATGAGTTAACCAGTTTGCCTAGAGCCTGAAAGGTGCCTGGAACACACCAGCTGTAAAAGTGCAATACATGGGAGCTGTCTGTTATTATTATCACTATTGCTAACATCACTTATCTGATGTCATTAAGATGATTAGATACAGAGCAGCCACCCAGACAGCACGGCCATTCTGCTTCCAGCAGCCTCTGAGATGAGTGTAGACACGAGCAGAAGGTCAAGAGGCTGCCCCCCCCAACAGAGACCAACCCTCTCCAGGAGCACACGTCTATGCAGAGGCAGGGGGCCTTCCAAACTGGGCAACCAACCTCCCACCTCTATTGGTCTCACTGACCTTCCACTGAAGTCACCCAATTAAGCTGGGTGGGAAGGAGTTATAGGAAGTTCATCATCTTTTAACATCACCCCACAACAAATTTAATTCATTCATTTATCAAACTTCTATTAAATCCTAACAGCTTATTCACCAGATGAGCTAGGATTCCAAAGCAGTCCGGAAGATGTGGGATCCACTCAGTATGGAGGGGAACAAAAATAAGCTTTGTAGGGAGGGAGTCAGAGCCCCAACCTGCTCATACCCCAAAGTGTTCAGGACCATGACTAGATTCACCTTTCACCTGTACCTCAATCAAATGGGCTGGGGTGAGTGTTGGTGGGAAAGAAGATGGAAACAGAACTTCTTATTCTATTATCTAGGTACCAAGCAATGAATAATAATAAACTCCAAATAAATGTTGGATAACTGGACAAAGCAATGAATATTAAAGTTACATCGTTCTTACATTCTGTCTCAATCCATTCCCTTGTCATCCTCATTGCCTCTGTGCATTGAGACAAATCTTGGGATTTTTTTTTCCTTTTTTTCCATGATAGGGAAGAGGGTCACAGAGACCTCTGGGGGAGGGGCACTGCAAGGGTCACACTCAGGGCCTCATGCAGGCCAGACAAGTGACCTACAGCTTCAGCCCTCATGTAAACTCTTTAAAGATGGCTTTCTTGAGGAGGCTCTCACTTTGCTTCCTTCACTTTCCTGTCAGACACTGTGAGCTCAGGTACCCTGGCCTCTTGTCCTGGCCAGTTGCCCTGCAGGCTCTGGCTGAGAAACTGGTGCCACCTCATTCTGCAAGCTGGAGAAAACTGTCTTTGTGATTCACAGGGCAGAGGACTCCAAGCCTGCTCCTTACTCTCGTGGGAGAGCCCATGGCTGAACAGAAGTTGGAGAAGCTCTTAGAAGCCAATGAGTGCCAACATGGCTTGCTGTTTCTGTCAGCCTGATTTTTATAATTTCACCTCAGTACTTCCTCAATGTGCCTTGAAGGAATGGAATGAATCTCTCTCTTTGGAGACAGCTACCTGACAACTAGAAGCTGTCCATGGCGACAGAGCCTGTGCTTATAGGTCACACTGTTGGCTCCATCCTGTGTCAGAGGTCAGCAAGCCTCACTCTCTGTCCCAGAACCTCTGTGTGGAGCTGGTCCTTGTACCTTGTCCTTGTCCCTAAAGGGTAGGTTAGACTCCTCCTCTACAAAATATGGGGTGGCCTATTGAGGCTCAACCCTCAGTGTCTGACTCTGTCATTCTGGATCCCTCAAGCTTTACCTCCTCTTCTCCTCACACCATAGCCAGCAATGCCTCTACCTCCTCCAGTCCCCAAGAAATCAAGAATGTATTCCCATTGTCCAGCAGGTTTCCTTCAGTTTCTCCTCCTTTCCCCTTCCCTCCCCCAGGGAGTTGCTGGTCTGAATGCCTCCACTTTCTGAGATAGTCTAGTCCACACTGGCCCTCTCTGGCAAAATTTCCAGCCAGGTTCCAGGTTTCAGCTGCTTGCTTTGGCTTAGGTTTCTCTTTTTTTTTTTTTTTTTTTTTGGCCAAAGTGGCCACTAGGTGGGTCTTCAGCCTGACGTTTGGCCCCTAAAACACTATGAGCTCTTTCACCCTGTCTTCTTACAACCCTCACACTCTAATCTTTAACAACCATTTTACCTCAGCCCATGTATGTTCTTTCCCCCTGCATTTGGCTTAACACTTGGAAAATGCTTCACACCTGTTTATTAAACCTGCAGACTCTTACTGAATCTTCCAAGACAAACAGCTAAATAAATACATCAAGTATGAACAACTAGACTAAGACATCTCACACTGTTTTGATAAGTGTGTCTGAAATCGCTTTACTGAGAACATCTAACCCTGAAGCCTTACCTGACTGAGGGAGAGCATCAATAAAGGCAAAATAGTGCTTCTCTAAGTCCTCCAAGTCCAAGAATGGGCGCTGGGACCAGACCGCAGCTGCAATCAGCGGACATCTCTCAATGACATTCCCAAACACACCCACAAACTCATCAAAGTCCATGCAGTTGACCTTTTCCATGTCCATTGCTGGTAATCGATTGGAGGCAGTTAGTCATCCAGGACCCCTCTGCGTGAGTGAGTGAGGCTAACTTACTCACAGGATAATCTTGCCTGAATGCACCAGCTTGCTTTTTATGCCACAACAGCTCAGCATGTCTTAAATGCCTCTGGGAGAAGCAGGTTCACAAGGCTTGTGTAATGAGTAAACACTGGTTTAAAGGTTTTTTGGGGGGTGGTGCTAGGGATCAAACCCAGGGCTTCGTGTGTGCTAGCCAAGTATTCTATCACTGACCTACACCTCCTTCCAGACTTCAGATCCTAAGCCAGGGAGCAGAGATGTCTGCAGGGTGAGTTTCCAACCAAGCCATTTTTATAATCCAGGCCAGTAGGGGCCACATTTCACTCCCAGCATTTGAGCTAGGTGGGCTCCTGGTATTGCTAGCATTGTAATGCCATTGTTATCCCTGGAGGGAAATTTTCCCTGATAATTCACACAGGTTATAGGTCAATCCTCTTGGAATTTGATTTCCTATCTGTGGTTGCTGCTGGACGGTAGGTGCTATGCTTCACTCCTCTGTGTTTCAAGCACGTAACACAATAGGTAATAAAAAATCTGGTAGAACAGGATGGAGTCTCAGAAATGTCCTGCCCCATTGTCAGTAACCTCTAGAGCACCCATGTCTGTTATTTTTTTGTTGAAGGTATCTATCCTTATCTAAAATCACCTTGATTATTGTATTTATTTATTTACTTTTGTATAATCTCTCTGCTCCCAGTGAGTCCATGTGCTGTAGACTGTGTTTTACTGTTTAGTTTTCTGGGAGCCTAGGCTGGGCGACTGGCAGGCAGGCAAGAAGCTCTCTAAGAATGCACCAGTTGGCCAACTGACTACTAGGTTAGATTTCACACCCTAATGCCTTCCATGCATACACAAAACAAATAATGTGGAAGATACCATCAAAGAAAGCAGGAGGGCACATAGCTCAGCGGTTAAGTGTTTGCCTGACATTGTGAGGTTCTGGATTCAATCTCTAGCACCATTTAAAAAAGAATACAAAGAAGGTGTCGGAATTTAAAACTAAAAGATACTGCTTTTTCCCTTTAGAATTAAATATGCAAGCATATGGTCAAAAGTCGTATACGTTTGCTTCCACTTGAGCCAAAATGACCCGTGAGAGCACCAGGATGAGTACATCAGTCACATTAGCCTCTGTGGTCTGCAAGAACGAGGTGACAACAGTCCACTCTGCAATGGATCAGCAGTGGTGATCTTGTCCTAACTCTGTAGAGCGTCCTCCAGCTAGGGTCTCTTCCTTGCTCCCGGGCCACTGAGACCTCACTCCTTAAAAAGCTGTTGATTTGCTTTTCAAATACATAACTGTGGTTCCAGGTTTCTTCCTCAAACATGAAAGAAGAAAACATCAATACTTACATACCTAGTCCCCAACTCACCATGGTTCAGCTGAAGGACTTTGCAACTTTAAGACAGGGTGAAGGCATTTGGCACTGAGCAGAGACCCCACATGGGAATTTGAATTTGGGCTTTCGCACAGAACACTGAGGCCCTTCCTGTCCTCTCCCTCCATGTGTGCAGCACTGAGCCAGCTCCCAAGCAGCTCCGCGGTCAAAAGGACACAACTGATGCTCCACAGCGTGCTGCGCGGCTAAGTGCACAGGTTAGAGGGAACACATGCATTTCACCTCACGCTATTTTAATTGAAGACAGGTGCAACACTGTCAGGTGCAGTGTGTTGGTTGCTTTGCTCTCATGTCTAGACAAATTACCCTACACCCTAAGTTAAAAGAGGAAACGGTTTGTAGAGGTTTCATTCCACAGCCAGCTGGCTCCCAGGCAGGGTGGCACATGGCAGAGGGGCTCATGGTGGTGGAAAAGAGCAAAAGAAACAAGAGCAGAGGTGGAAGGACGCCTCTTTGTGCCCCCTTTATCTTATCCAGACTGCTGGGATTAGGGTGGTGCCAATCCAGTAAGGGGACTGATCTAGCCATCCCTCACCCTTAATCCCAGCATTGCACGATGAATCAATCACAAAATCTGAATTCAGCTGCCTCCACACAAGCCTGCCTCCCAGGACTGCATGAGGCTTTGGGAGGACATCGAGACACAAGCCATAACAAAGAGTATCTACGCATCACACAGCTATGCATATGAAAAAATACTGCATCTCACGGTTAGGTACATAGTGTGGGGCAGTGTAGGCTCAGGGTCAAGAGCTTGAACTCAGGAGTCAGCATACCTGGGTTCTAATCTTTGCTCCACCACTTACCATCTACCTCATGGCACCATACTAAACTTCTTTGTACCTCAGTTTCTTCATCTGTAAAATGGGATAATAGTAGTATTTTTGCATGGGAATTTTGTAAAAATTTAAATGAACCACTATGCCATGTTCTTAACACAGTTCCACGCACATAAACACTATATAGGTTCCTTTGGACCAGCCAGTTTTCTCCTGTGGCTTCTGCCACCATGGAGTAAAATCTCCTTTCCCTTGCTCATGAAAGCTTTTCCACATAGTCCAACAGCTTCATCTGCCTCCCTCCCTTTCCTCCTTCCTCCCCTCCCCACTTCCTCCCTTCCTTCAATCCGCCTCTCACTTCCTTCTTGTCCTCCTCTTCTGCCTAGCTGCATCCCCAGCCCTTTCTAAATTTTAGTTTGACACAGAGTCTGGATAAGTTACCCAGGCTGGTCTTGAACTTGTTGTCCTCCTGCCTTGGCCTCTGGAATAGCTGGGATTATAGGCACATATGCGCCACCACGCTTAGTTTATATGTGTGCTCTTGATTTGGTACTAACAAGACAAATTTGAGGTAGTTTAATCTGAGGCAATATGGGAGTTGGAACCCATTTAATCCTGCTGTTAGCAGACCCTTTTTCATTGACTGGGGACTGAGCTAAGGGCTATCAGCACTGGCTGCCATAATGCACTGAGGCCCTAAGGAGGTGGCAGGTGTGAGGCCAGGTCAGAGCCTGTGTTTAGTAGTTCTGTGTATCTAAGTAAGTAATTTAACCTCCTTAAGCCTTGGCTGAAGCATCTGTTAAACTGCTAGGAACCAAATTCTTAGCTCACAATTTGTTAAGTGGAACAATGTATGTGAAACCTTAGGCCAGCTCTGGGAGCTAATGTGATACAGATAAAAGTTAACAAAAGAATTCTCCAAAGAAAGCCTTAAAGACACTATGCTAGATGAAATAAGCCAGCCACTAAAAGACAAATGGTGTGCTATTCCACAATGTGAAGTCTTTGGAACAGCCAGATTCACGGATACAGAGGACAGAGCGGTGGGTGGTCGCACTGCGTACAGGACAGCGGGGGCTGCTTGTTTGCCGCAACTCCAAACAGGAGCAGCAGGGGACAGATTAACCAACTGACCTGGGCTTGGGTGAGGAAGGGAGCAGCCAGACCCAGCTCCAGCAAGTGCCGACTGCTACGTCCAGCCATCTACAAGGACCCCTGCCTCTGGCCTGATCTGTCAGAGACCAGCAAGCTGATGGCCACCTCAGCAAGAGCACACTTTAGGCTGGATGCTAACCATGGGATGAATGGTTAGCGGGTCCCCTGGCCCAGGGAGGGCACCTCGAAAACCCTCAGAGCCTAAAGCTAGGCAGAGGGCCAGGGCTATAGCTCAGTGGCACAGCACCTGCCCGGCAAACACAAGGTCCTGAGTCTGGAGATGATTTTATTTATTTATTTGTTTTTCGGTATGGGGGATTAAACTCAGGACCCTGCGCTTGCCAGGCAAGCGCTTATTCTACTGAGCTATTTCCCCGGCCCCAAGGTCCCGAGTTTGATTCCCAGTACCAAAAAGAAAGAAGACTTAATCTTTTAAAACTTTTTCTATTTCAATTGTTTTCTTTCCTTTATGAGTTTTTATTTTGTTGTTGTTGTTGTTCGAGTGGGTGTTTTAACCCCATTTTGTCTTCCTTTTCTTTTTAGCTTTTTTTCTCTATTTTCCTTTGACCTTTTTTTCCTGGGTTCTTGTCTTTCATTTATGTACTTTGCTCTTTTTCTTTTTTCCTCCTTGTTCTTTCCTGTGCCTGTTTTCTAACATCATTACTATATTTCCTTTTATTCTTCACTAGGACCCCCTCTCACTTTTTTCTCAATCTCATACATATCCCATTGATTAACTTTTCAGATTGTACTTTTACTTTTTTCATTTTCCCTTTACCCATGCCCTCTACATTTACTGGTAACATCTAGAGAGCTCGTTAACCTGATGTTATTACTGCTGACTACTGTTTTGCTGTTAGTGAAAGTAAAGTTCAGTAGATATTTGCTGTAGGTCAATAGTAGGTTGACATTTGGCTTGTCTCAGTGTCCATACTATAATTATAGTTCCTTTTCTACAGTTAATTGCGATACAATGTTGGTCCTTAGGGTTTGTCAAATCCTGTTTTTCTTTCATGATACATCAGTGCTACTGATTTTATTTCTATAGCCAAAGTGACACAGTTGATACTGTTAGTTGGTTTTCTCAAGAGGTTGATACCTGGATTGCCCAGGGGTCATTAACAAGACTGCGGCCTGGCCAGGTATGAAGCACACACTTGCAATCCCAGTACTTGGAAGGGTGAGGCAGGAGGATCAGCATGCATTTGACGCCAGCCTGGGGTATATAAACAAATTCAAGGCCAGCCTGTACTACAGCAAGACCCTGTTTCAAAAAAGAAAAAAATATATATACTGTGGCCCATACCTGCAGAACTGGGTGCTGGGCCAAGCATGCTGCAAACTTCCTCCCAACTTAATAGAGGTGGCTGGATCCTGGGACGGGGCAAAGGCTAATAGTTAGCCAGACCCAGAGGGCACCGCTGAAAAATAGACATTAAGGAAGTCTCCATAGTAGTAATAAAGCTTGCCACTGTAATCAACTAGCAAACCTCAACACAAAATATAAACAACAAACAAACTTAAAACATGAGACAATAAGGCAATAACAAAGTGCCTCAAGAAAATGCCATGAACCCCCCCCCCAAAGCTGACCCATAGAGCACTGCAGGTAAGGAAACCAAAAGCCACACCGCTGAATTATTTGAAAATGTAACAGAAGAGTTAACAAAACAGATCAATAACACACTTGGCAAGATTGCAGAAGGAATAAGTAAACAAACAA